TGCAAATAATGCCCCTTCTGTGAAATGTCCCTACATGCCTCTATTACAATACTTAACTATATTGTATTTTAATTATCTATTTACCCATCTGACTTGCCCACTAAATGTTGAACTCCTCCTCAGCAGGACCTTCCTGATCATGTTTGAACACTTTGTATTTTACATTCTGGTATATAGTAGATGCTCAATGAATATTTTTAGGGCAAGAGAGTGAATAAGTAAATACATACTGAATATATCAAATTACACTAGAGTCAAATTTAATCAGTCAATTTCAAGAGCTCCTCTTCATCTCTTAATCTTTTATGTTAAAGCATTCTATAAAGAGATTTATCTCAGAGTTTGGTTATGGAATATTTAAAATGTAATTGAGGTTATTATTAGAGACTAAACAGACAATTACCTATGTTCATTATTGTGGGGATTGAAGGATTATTTTGATAAGCAAATAGAATATAGAAATGCATTCAAAATAAACTCAAATAGCATGACTTGAAGTGCTGTGTTATCTCAAAATTTCATTAGACTGTAAACATATTTTCAGTGTTCATCAATCTGGTGGTGAATTACTGTTAGAGCAATATTTTAGAATCCCACTTCTAAAGAAGTCTTTTACCATCTAGAAAGAGGCTAGTGTCTGCTGAATGATTTCATATTTTATGTGTATATTTAGAGGACTAAGTTGAGCTTAGTTTTAGTCATGCTTACTTTAAAGAGAAAAAACCAATAATTGTCTTCCAGAAATGTCCTTCTGGTCATTTTCTTTTCCATGTAATTAGTTACCTGTGAGAGTCCTGTTATTTAGTTAGTATTCGTCATAATTTCCTGCCCTGAGAAAATCTCATACACTAAATTCCCAATTTTGCAGTGTGTATGCCATATAATATTTACAAAAACTGTGAGGTATTATTTTAAAACAACAGAAAATGTTCCTGAAATGGAGGCAGTGAGAAATCAGGTAGCCATGAAAAGACAGGTAATATTTCATCAAACCAAATTCTTTTTTTTAAAGATTTTTTTATTTGAGAGAGAGAGAGCGCAAGCAGGGTGAGTGATGGGGAGAGGGGCAGAAGGAGAAGCTCGATCCTAGGACCCTAGGATCATGACCCAAGCAGAAAGCAGATGCTTCAAACCAAATTCTGATGGAATGAGTCAAATCAGTGTGCTGGAAGTCACCTTCCAGTTATCAGAACTTCACACATTGAGGGTTCTCCAGAAATGGCAGCATCTCAGTTTTATTCTTAGCTTTAGCACTGATTTGTGACTTTTGTTTGTAAACTAAGAAGAAATGGTTGCTTGCCCCTAGTGTCAAGGCCATGTTTAAAGGAGCTATGTGAGCTTCTTCTGATAAGTATAAAGCCATCTCTCTTTTGCCCAGAGTGAATTTAGAAGTAGTAGTAGGCTGAGGGACCACTAAAGACATGGGCCAAAACAGAAACAAACCAACACTATGGCAAATTCCTGAGGGAGAGCCAAGGTCTGGGGGAAATAAATAAGTACTTTACCTTGACATCAGATAATTTAAAAACAAGGTGATTTTTTTAAAAGACTTTATTTATTTATTTGACAGAGAGAGAGACAGCGAGAGAGGGAACACAGCAGGGAGAGTGGGAAAGGGAGAAGCAGACTTCCCACTGAGCAGGGAGCCCTGTGCGGGGTTGGATCCCAGGACCCTGAGATCATGACCTGAGCGGAAGGCAGAAGCATAATGACTGAGCCACCCAGGCGCTCCAAGGTGATTTTACAAAATAGTCTTGAGGATTATCATTAATATTTTCAAATGCATTTTTAAAGTTTATGTCAAAGATTTAACATCCCATTGAAAAGAAAGCTTATGTATAGGTTTTTTTGAAATAATGTTCAGAGGTTACATCTGACAGGAATCCACTGGAGGGCAGTATATAGCAAGAGTTATGGCTGGTTGCCTGGACTATTGATTTGTTTCAGAACATAAACTGAATATCCCATTAGAGCTTAATTTTAAAAAATGACATACAGTTCTACTGTCTGTTTTAAAGTTTAAAAAGATTTCCCACATTAGGTGCCTGGATAAGTCTGCGTATTTCCATTTGGTGTGAAGAATGATGGGGCTGATTATATGTTGAAAGCATTTCTGTCTTCCTGACAAATCAAAGTGTGAATTCAAGTTTCTGTACTCAGTTGAGCAGTGATGCATTTCAATCTGGCTAGACTTTAATTTATACTGTTTCCCTAAGGAAAGAAACCAGGTTACCAGAGGCAGCTGTCATTAATTGAAGTTAGGTCACACTGCCTCACACGCCTTGACCCCAGAACATGGAGTGCAGTGGTCTTGATCATATCAGCTGCCTGTGTAGCACACACTTCCTTGAAGAAATGTATTTAATTTGATTTCTGAGAATAAATGACACAACTGTGAGATAGAGCTTAGAATTCAAATTGCTCATTTAACTGTAAAGAAATACTACAGTTGATGTTATAATACCTGCCTCCTCACCCATAGTTCCTTCCTTCCTCCAAAAATCCACCCATTTGCCATCTTCCATTAATTTACTCAATATTTATTATTCTCCTACAATGTATGTGCTATGCAAACCCTGAGGTTAAAGCTGAGCATGAAATTTCAGTTCAGAAGAATGGATAAACTTTCCTCAGAATATTAGGACTTGGTGAGCCTTAGATGTTCCTCAAATAAGAATAGCAGATGTGTGTATAGCAATCTGAACTAGGCACTTGTTCTGAGCTCCTTTCTTAAGACCCTTGTGAGGTAGGTTCCATCACCATCATCACCATCATCATCCTCATCATCATCACTATCATCATCATCATCATCACCATCATCATTATCACCATCATCATCCCAATCATTATCACCACCATCATCATCCCCATCATCATCCCTGTTTATGGATAGGTACATTGAGGCACAGGAAGATCAAGTCCCTTGCCCATGGTCACCCCGTATGAATGGCAGAACCAAAATTTGAGACTTGCTCCAGACCCCATGCTCTGAACAACTGATCAAGCTACACTTCTCCTTAAGAGCAAGGGTTCCAGGTGAAGCAAAAGTCAGCTTGGAAAATAGGTAATTTAAGGATGGTGTTTTGCTTTTGTGAAAGATAAAATGTGCTAGACAATTAAGGAAATGTTTTACCCAAGCTATTGCAGTAGGGAGAATGTTCACTAATGAATATCTCAAAGAAGAGGGAGAGAACTTAGTGGCCCGGACAGGACTCTCCCTTAACATCCATAAGGAACTCTGGCCCATGCATGGTCTGCTGTGGTAGTGAGTGCTTTGAGGTTTATATCAAGCCCTCGGGCTTCAGCTCACAGGGCTTCTTCATATTTTGAGGGAAAGGGCCAGCTGCCAGACAACCTAGAGTCCAAATAAGGATCTGGGCAGTGATCTAGACAGATTACACATCAAATAAGAATAATCTTTTACAACCACTTCTTAGAGCAAGCCAATAATCTAAGAAAAATTTTCCACAATAACTGAGAAGACCAAATTCTGTCTTTGTACCAGTATGACGTTTGTTAGAAATCTTTTTTTTTTTTTAGATTTTTTTTTTTTTTTTTTTTGAGAGAGAGAGAGCATGGGGGAGAATGGGAGAGAGACAATCTCAAGCAGAATCCCCACTGAGTATGGCGCCCAACACAGGGCTCCATCTCACGACCCTGAGATCATGACCTGAGCCAAAATCAAATGTCAGATGCTTAACCGACTGAACCACCCAGGTGCCCCTGTTATGAAATCTTTTGAAAATCTTATAATTAATTCATTGTGGTAGGCAGGAAAATGGCCCCTCAAAGACGTCCACTTCCTAATTTCTGAAAACTGTGAATATGTTATGTTACACAACAAGAGGGAATTAATTCCATTGCAGAGGGAATTAAGGTTACCAATCATCTGACCTTAAAATAACAGGATTTTCTGGTGGACCCAACATAATCACAACGGCTGTTTAAATGTAGAAGAGAGAGGAGAGGAGTCATTGTCAGAATGATACAATGTGAGAAAGACTAACTGGTTATTGCTGGCTTTGAAGATGGAAGGGGGCCGTGAGTCACAGATTCTAGGAAGCCTCTCCAAGGGTGAAAAGGAAACAAAATGGATTCTCTCCTAGAACCTCCTGAAGGAATGCAGCCCTGCTATCTTGATTTTAGCCCAGTGAGACCCATTTTGGACTTTTGAACTGTTTTCAGCTACTTGGTTGTGGTAATTTGTTATAGCAGCAAGAGAGAAATAAGACACCCATCAAACTTAGTCAGCTTTGACCATTACAAAAAGACACACACACACAAAAAATCCAGTACACCTTCCACAACTTTCTGTATTCATTTTGGTTTTGTCCTGCATTTTCCTCTTCTTATTCTGGAGCAACAAGTCATTTTACCTTAGGGCAAAACTACTCTTATCTCCTTAACACAAACGCATCCCTTATAGTACAATTTCTCAAAGTGGCAAAAATGAACACGTTCTTTAACAGACCCAAATACATACTCTCTCTATACCATAGAAATAAGAGGCAAAAATATAAACAAAATTACGCTTAGTAATTAATGTTTCAGTATTCCGTCTTACTTAGAAATAATCTAGGCATCTAGTAAATATTGATTGATTAACTCAATTTAATATCAATACAAGGTTTTAAGTTACTTAAGATTACTAAATTCAAGTTACTAATTACTAAGATTGAAAATCTTAGAAATTATGTTCAAGTTGACATATTACAAAATGCTGATACTGCTTGTAATTAGGAGTCTGCCTCATTTGATGTTCTACTGCTCTAGGCAAGTTGATAGGAAAGACCAGGTGCTTCCTCCTTTGCTACTGGTGGAAAGTTTGAACCATGCCAAGTCCCTGCCTGCATGTAGGAAACTTCACTCCAGCCCCTTCCCCTAACCACCATAAAAGACCCAGGCCAGTCTCCTTGTCCTCTTACAAGCCACTTTGGACTTGTTTGGCAGGCCTGCCCTGCTCTCTCCAGAAAGCCTCCTAATGTGAGTAATATTCCTACCTTCTTGGTGTTCCTGTGGCATCATCAGTCTCCAATCTGAACCACATTTTGGGTGGATGTCCATCTTTTCTTTGCAAGAGTGTCTACAACACTGTCGAAATAAAATTTTTCAAAATTATGATTCAATTTTCATTAAACATATTCACATTTTTTATAATCTTAAACATTTAGTAGAAGTCATATCTTTTTCAATCAGCAAACTTATATATGTTTAGGAAAAACATACCTAAAAAGAAAAAGGTCTACATGTATATTATACTTAACCTTGATCTAATAGAAAATATGTAGCTGCTTTTAATTAAATCAAAATGAATCTTATCTGCCAAGGATTTACCTAAATTATGTGCACTTGAATTCTTAAAACATTTCTGGGTTCATTTCTATAAGGAAAATATTTGAGGTTTATTTTCCTTGGTATCTGGAAATTTTAGGAATATTCAGCTTACATAAGTGCTTTTTATCACTAAGTCAATCAGAGTAGGGCTCCTTTCAGAGATTTTATGATCTAATTTATTAATACCATGAAAGGTAGGAAAATATTATATACTTACACAATGAGATGTAAAGACCTTTCTGAGTTACAGTTATATAAACATACAAACAGATACAAATGGAGAGCTTATAACTTTATTGTAAAAAATTTAGCTATGAGAATAAACACAGAAACAAAATATCACTGGTCTAAATAGGGTTTTATTACCAGTGGGTACAAATTCTTAGCTGTTTTTAGCTCAAGACAGGGAAAAAGATAAACAGAAAAGACTAACACCAGATTTGTTGTTGTCTTTCAACCTAGAAAAGAAGATCTCTATAAACCATTGATACATTTACAGAAATCACAAAAATGATCAGACCATGAAACCAGAAGAATCTGTGCAGATATGAAGCAAGTACTCAAAAGGTATCAAATCAAATCTTTATCATGCTATGAATGGACAAGAGTCCAGAACACAGGATTAGGAACTGAGCTCACTTTTGGGTCCCTGGATTATCACACAGGAATGAAGCACAAAAGCTCTGAAGGGGTCTCATTACCTGGTAGGAGTAAACAGGATCCTGAGGCAGGGACAGATACTATCTGAGTCGTGGCACCAAACCCTGAAAGACAAAATGCTCCAGACAGTTAAGGAAATAATTTTATTCAGGCCATTGCAACAGAGAGAACATTCATTATGATAAATGTCTCAAAGAAGATGGACAAAACTTGGGATTTTATAAAACATGAGAGTCTTTCTAGAAGAGTGGAGATGGGTCTTAATTCAGAGTATGAACGGACATGGTAGTCTTTTGCAGTTAGCTGGTTAGCTGTTCAGCCATTTTGTCACTTCTCAAATAAAGAAGAATTACAAAAGGATAGGCAGGTTTCTCAACTGTCACTGCTCTCAGGAGCACAGGGCTCAGATGAAGTTCAACATTGTCACTTTATAATAAGCCCTTTGCTTCATCACTTCTTTGACCATGGAACCCTGATACACATAGGCAGATGGCATAATCCCTGGGAGGGCTTTCTATGACTTGTATAACATCAGACACTATATGGACATTTTGTATCATTCAAAACTATTTTTTACGTACTATATGATTATGTATTTGAAGATTTTTTTAAAAGAAAAATACATTTGTTGCTTATAAAAATTTTTAGAGTCAGCATGAAAAACAAATTACTAAACAGAAAATCATCTTTTAATTTATTTTTCATTGAATTTGCAGGGTGGGTAATTTAAGTGATTTTAAGAGCAATAAACATGTTCTCGATGCATCTGCTATGACTGAAGGATAACGCTGGTTAGGACTTCCTGTGAATCTACTTAAAATGGGCAATTTTAGCTTTCTCTCAAAAGGAGCTTTGTGAAAGGAAGGGCAGAGGAAAACTTTGTTCATCTGTGAGAACATCAGGGACCGAGGGAGATTAGATATTACGCATAACAGTTTGAAAAATATTGAACAAGTTGGATTGCCAGGGTGGCCCCTGGCATTTCAGTCTGTAGAGTAGCAAAAACAACTCAGCAAACTGATAGAAACCATAGAATCCTGCAGAGTGGTGTTTCTGCTGAAGCCTAATAATTCAAGATGTAGAAGTTTTCAGAAATATTCCATGTGTGAGGAAAACGAGTATTCTCCAGTTGTCGTTTAGGGTTCTATGTATGTCGATTAGATCAAGCTGGTTAATCATGAATTCATGATTATTTTTACCTATTTTAAAAATCTACTTGTTCTATCCGTTATGGGAGATGTGTCAAAAATCTCCTTCTGCAATAGTGAATTTGCCCATTTCTCCTATCATTTTTTGATTATATTTTTGAAGTTATGCTATCAGGTACAGAAGAACTTAGAATTGTTTTATCCTTCTGGTCAGCTGAAACTTTTATCATAATGAAAGCATTTTATTATAGCAAGAGTATTTTTTCCCTGATTTCTATTTTGCCTAATACTACATATATTAGTATAGGTACCCCAATTTTCTATTGGTTGGTATTTGCCTTATATAACTATTTCTATCCTTTTATTTTCAACCTTTCTTTGGTTTTCAACCCCTTATGTGTCACTTCCTTTTTGCATATAGCTGAACTCTGACTCCATATATGAAATTTTCTGCCATTTAACTGAAGAATTCAACTATTTTCATTAAACCATTTAAGTGTATTGTAAATACTAATATATATATATATATTTACCCATATCATTTTATTTTGTGCTTTTTGTTTTTCTTAATTTTTCTTTCCTATTTCCCCTTTCATTTCATGTCTATTTTTAAATAGACTGGGAGCTCTTTCCATCTTCTACCTTTTCCACCATGTTTACTCTTAAACTCATAACCTGCATATTTAACTTAGAAAATTAAAACTTAGTCAATATTTTTTATCATTCTGGATCCAGCCAGGAAGAGAGATACCACTGTAAGTCTCTCAGTACAGGGAATTTAATACAAGCAATTGGTTACAGAGGTAATGGGAATGCTAAGAAGTTATATAGAGGATAGTAATTCAGAGTTGAGTGAGAGCAAGAAGTTGGCCTCTGCTTCTAGGGTTGGAGGGGCAATGGAAAGAGAGGCCCAAATGATATAAATGGTATAACTTCCTATTAGGGCTTCAATTCCTACTAATTTATGTTCAATATCTTTCATCTCTTCTCTGATGGCTAGAGATGTTGAACATTTTTTCATGTGTCTGCTAGCCATTCGTATGTCTTCTTTGGAGAAGTGTCTATTCATGTCTTCTGCTCATTTTTTGACTTGATTATTTGTTTTTGGGGTGTTGAGTTTGAGAAGTTCTTTATAGATCTTGGATACTAGTCCTTTATCTATAATGTCATTTGCAAATATCTTCTCCCATTCCGTGGGTTGCCTCTTAGTTTTGTTGACTGTTTCCTTTGCTGTGCAAAAGCTTTTTATCTTGATGAAGTCCCAATAGTTCATTTTTGCTTTTGTTTTCCTTGCCTTTAGAGACATGTCTTGAAAGAGGTCGCTATGGCCAATGTCAAAGAAGTTACTTCCTATGTTCTCCTCTAGGATTTTGATGGATTCCTGTCTCACATTGAGGTCTTTCATCCATTTTGAGTTTATCTTTGTATACGGTATAAGAGAATGGTCCAGTTTCATTCTTCTGCATGTGGTTGTCCAATTTTCCCAGCACCATCTATTGAAGAGACTGTTTTTTTTCCATTGGATATTCTTTCCTGATTTGTCTGAGATTAGTTGACCATAGAATTGAGGGTCCATTTCTGGGGTGTCTATTCTGTTCACTGATCTATGTGTCTGTTTTTGTGACAATACCATGCTGTCTTGATGATCACAGCTTTATAATATAGCTTGAAGATGGGCATTGTGATGCCACCAGCTTTGGTTTTCTTTTTCAACAATCCCCTGGCAATTCAGGTCTTTCCTGTTTCCATACACATTTTAGAATTGTTTGTTCCAGCTCTGTGAAAAATGTTGATGGTTTTTGGATAGGGATTGTATTGAAAGTGTAGATTGCTCTGGGCAACACAGACATTTTAACAAAGTTTATTCTTCCAATCCATGAGCATGGAATATTTTTCCATCTCTTTGTGTCTTCCTCAATTTCTTTCATAAGTGTTCTGTAGTTTCTAGAGTAAAGATCCTTTACCTCTTTGGTTAGGTCTATTCCTAGGTATCTTATGGTTTGGGGGCTACTGTAAATGGAATCAACTCCTTAATTTCTCTTTCTTCAGTCACATTGTTTGTGTATAGAAATGCAACTGATTTCTGTGCATTGATTTTGTATCCTGCCATGTTGCTGAATTGCTGTATGAGTTCCAGTAATTTGGGGGTGAAGTCTTTTGGGTTTTCCACATACAGTATCATGTCATCTGAGAAGAGTGAGAGTTTGACTTCTTCTTTGCTGATTTGAATGCCTTTGTTTCTTTTTGTTGTCTGATTGCTGAGGCTAGGACTTCTAGTATTATGTTGAACAACAGTGGTGAGAGTGGGCATCCCTGTCATGTTCCTGACCTTAAGGGAAAAGCTCTCAGTTTTTCTCCATTGAGAATGATATTCGCTGTGGGTTTTTTGTAGATGGCTTTTATGATATTGAGGTATGTTCCCTCTATCCCTATATTTTGAAGAGTTTTAATCAGGAAAGGATGCTATATTTTGTCAAATGCTTTTTCTGCATCAATTGAGAAGACCATATGGTTCTTGTCTCTTTTGTTAATGTGATCTAGCACTTTGACTGATTTGTGAATGTTGAACCACCCTTGCATCCCAGGATTAAACCCCACCTGGTCCTGGTCAATAATCCTTTTAATGTGCTGTTGGATCCTACTGGTTAGGATCTTGGTGAGAATTTTGCATCCATGTTCATCAGGGATACTGGTCTGTAATTCTCCTTTTTGATGGGGTCTTTGTCTGGTTTTGGGATCAGGGTAAGCCTGGCCTCATAGAATGAGTTTGGAAGTTTTCCTTCTATTT